CTAAAGTGAGGTAACTGATTTCATTGCTCAAGAAACGCCTAAACTTTTGTTTTTCACTGGTGTATAGCAATATAATCTATACTTTCAAAAATTTAACATCACAAACTGTTTCCATAAAAGAAAAGAATTATGTGCTGATAACCATCGACCAAGGAAAGCGTCAAAATTTCATTATTGATGCGTTGGTTTATCGGGTTGAAACCCTTATTATTTGATATTCACCAGAAAACTTTCATTATCAGGATCAGTTCTTTGAAATGCGGAAGAAACAAATGGTGTTGACTCTTCACGTGCAGACTTTCCAGTAGTTTACTGTCATTTCATTAAAATGTACCCTAAGCAATATGAGTTTTGGCTGACGTATGAAAATTATTTACGTGATATGTTTTCCCTGTTGTCAACAATTAAAATCTGGTAACACAATGCTCGATTCAGAGTTATATTGACCGTTACAAATGTCATTCTCTGCCAATGCAGTATTGTATTGCAAAGTTAGGTTTAGGTCATTACTCTGAGCTGTATTGCTGTTTAAAAGGTTTCTATTGATTTTATTGGTTATGATCATATTGCTCTTTGATCATATCATATCCCACTGATCATATTGCTCTTTCACCACACAATTCGCTTAGTATCAACAAAAAAGCTAAAGTTTTAAAGTTACTCTTCTATGTACAGTTGATCTAAAAAACATCACACTTTTAATTATTTAATTAGCTCCGACAGACAATTTAACCTCTACTTTTTGGATAGCTCTACAGTTTCTCTGAAGTCTGCAGTTAATTAACCGCTCTATAACTTAAAAAATTTAACTGGTCTTTTTACACCTATGGTTGTCATTCTTAGCAAGAATCATTTTGCAAGTTTTTTTGCATTTTTAACGGCTCTTTAAGCTCAGACTTCTCCAATGATAAAGAACGAGAAACAGGAAAGAGTAGATGGACAAACAGTTATAAAAAGTAGTATTATAAGTGTTGTTTGAAAGATACGAAACAGCGTTTGCAAGAAGAGTAAGGAAAGCTTAGTGTTTGGGTTCTTATGCAAAAAAAAAAAAAAAATGGTAAAAATTATTTTTCACCACTGTGTATTTTGCCATTCCTAACCCTGACGCTTTGCTTTGACGCAGTTTTGCGAGATTGTGGAAAATACGGTGCGAAAGGCGTTGTTTTTTTAGCTGATAAACACTTTACGACACAGTGACAACAGAGGCTACAATCAGGTAAACTACAGAAGTTGCATATGTCGAAAACGAGTAGTCTGAAACTGCTTGTTTAGTTCATATAAAAAACTATTTTTTTTGAGATATTTAACTTTATAAATTTGATTTCAAGTTTGAAAATGAGGAAGAGGGTTAGCACTAAGAGGAAACTTCACAAGTAGCGTGCATATTGGCCTATCAAATGAAGCGTTAAAGAAGAATTTACCAGTGCAGCTGCTAGTGCTGAATACTAGCATGTGCAAATTTTCAGACCACTTTTAGCAAAAACTTAATGCCTACTTTTTACAGTATTTACTTTAAAGTTAAACATCCTTTTCTAATGGCTCTGATGCTATTGAAATCTTAGCAAAATAGGCAAAACCAGATTTCAAGTGCTTATGAAAAAAACACAGTGGTTTTCTTCGTGGCGTAGTGCTCCAGCGAGAAACTTCTGCTTCCGCTTTTATCTTGATCTTTTAACGTTTGGCTAGCAAAAAAAAGCATTTAAACTTCCTTCCCAAACGCAACCTTCGGAAATTTTTGACAAGTTTCGTCCAAGAAAAGTTTATTTCTTATTGCTACTGGACAATTCCTGGTTATTATAGGTATTATTCTTATCTTGTTAAGAGTATTAGCCAGAATTGCACCTTTCTGCATTAAAACAACTTATTGATTAACTTACGGGGTTGGCATACGGTTTTCCTACAACTGTGAGCGTTACCGTTTAATAAAACTAAAGATTTTTGTACTTTTTAACGCAATTTTTCTATTTTCTCTCGATCAGTAATTGTTGCTATAAAGCGAAACCAGGGCATGCCTTCTACAAATCCCCTAAAGTAATTCTTTTAATCGCTCATTTAAATATTTATGTAATTTAAAAAAGTTTCTTTACTCTTAATCTTCAAATACCTGTTTCACTTCA